TACAACAGATGACAATTCGTGATGGTCCTTTCAATTTGCCCGTTGAGTCTTCTTTTGGGGATCTAATAGGATGACTAGACCCCAAACTGCAAGACCTAAGGAAACACACAAACCAGCATCTTACTCATATGTGGCACTTAAAAGTTTACAAATACTTTCGTACATGTCACTTGACTTAATGCCCACAATACTGCTGGCAGGTATATTATCTTCATATAAAGAAAACACCAAACCCAACCCACCACCATCAGTCAGTCTGACTCGGTAACCCTATAGGACAAGGCTGAACTGCTTCAAAGTGTTTCTGAGACTAAATCTTTACCCAAGAAGACTGCTTATCTTTCTCCTACAGAACATTCGAACTGCTGACTTTAACCACTGTGCATGACAAAATAAAAATCCAAAGTTTAAAAAGTTCAGAGGAGGGTTAAAAAAAGGGCACATTCTGATCTTTCCTCTAATGCAACAAGACTGCCAAGAAAACAAACAGATTCATCCTGGAGAGGGTTAAACCAGACTGCTCCTTGGAGGCAAGGATTCTGGGGCTTCGTCTGACACTCTTTGGACATGTTGTAAGGAGAAACGGGTCCTTGGAGAGGGACAGCGTAGGAGGGGAAGACCTTCTATGAGATGGATTGATTCAGTGACTGGGGTGATGGGGATGGGTGTGTCAGAGGCAGTGCGATTGGCAGAGGATAGAGCAGGGTTTAGGGCTTTTGTACATACATCGGGTCGCTATGAGCTGCAAGCGACTCGATGGCACACAACAACAACAACAACAACAACAACAGCTTGTTTAAGAGCTCTGAAACCTAAAATTTACTCGCTCAGACATCTGGATCGAAAAGTTAAGGGATTCATTACACTGTAGAGCTGGTGAACTTCATGACACTTAGCATTGCTTTGGGTCTCATTACCGACCGGCACATCAACTAGGATTTGGAGTTCATCTGCCTTCAGATGTCAAGTTCTTAAACTAGAGTGAAGTGTCATTTTTTAAGCCTTTTTAGGATTTGAAGAACAATGCATGGGATCGGGTTCCCGATAAACCTAAGGTCAAAATCCAGGCTGTCATTTCCTGCCCATCTAACCCTGAAGGTACAAAACTGTGATTGACTTTGCATAGCAGGAAAATGGGACTACAGTCATGCCACGGTTCTACTTTAAAACTGTTACAGGATTGAATAGATGGAAGCTAAAATGTGTTTTTTTTTCCCCTACATCCTGTCCCCTCTGGGTATCTTGTTAGGGCGATCGGCCCGAGCTCCCGCCCCCTGCCCACGTGGCCGCGCCCCGCTTCTCACTGATGCCGATCCCCATCTGCGCAATCTGCCCGGGTCTAGCGGCGTATCCCAGCTTCAAGGGCCTCTTCGCCGTCCAGTACACGTAGCCCCCCGTCCCGATCAGCCCTGTGCCCGAGAGCACGCGGCAGCTCCAGCAGTTAGTAATTGGGTCCTGCGCCGGGGAGACGGGCGCCACGGGCGCCGCCAGGGCCGCAGGGCTGGCGGGCGCCGCTATCTTCGGGGGCGCAGCCATCGGCACCTGGTCTAGAGGCTTGGACACGGTGGACCCCATGTTCTCGACCTCCGCAGGAGGAGTCGGCTGCCGACTGACGTAAAACGTGCCGGAAAGCAAGGCGCTGGCGCGCTTCACCGGAAGCGTCCCGTGGCCTTCTGGGAAATGTAGTTCTCCTTGCCATAGAAGGAAGAAAGATGGAGGCCACTTGCTGGGTATTGGGTTGTCTCTCCATGCCAGGAATTCTGACCTGTAATTCTTAGACTTATAATTGCCTCACTTTTATTGTCACAGTCTCAAGGAGGAGAAGTCTAGGTTTCTAAATTCCCTTGGACGTGTCTCTTCACCCATTTGAAGGAATGACTCAAGAGAGTTCATTTTTTAATATGTGGTTAAATGAGCTCTGGTGGCCTAGTGGTAAAAAGCTGCACTGCAATCGCGAAGGTACTCGGTTCAAGGTAACCAGCTGCCCTTTGGGAGAAGGATGGGCAGTCTCCTCCCCTGCGATTAATTGCCCCTTAACCCCCACACCTGCCCCAAAGGTCAGCTGTGGATCAATTCTGGCTCAATGGTACACACCACCAACAACAAATTATATGCTAGACACTCTGTGAAATGATCGTCTCCATAATGCCTTTGAAAATAGCTTGACCTCATAGATACCATTTTCTCAGTTTGATATATGACAAGGGAATCTACCAGCAGAATGGTAAGCTCTAAACAGTTAACCAAAAGATGTGCTTGGAACCCTACAGCCTCTCTCAGGGAGGGAAGATTGAGTGATCTACTCCCTTAAATATTCCAACCTGGGCAGTGCTACACAGTTGCTATGAGTTAAAGTTACTTGAGGACCCACAATAAACATAAAAACGGGTTACAAACCTGTTAACATGTTTTAAACATGGGTTAGACATGTTACAAACATGACTGTAGCTCAAGTCTCCATTTCAATATTATTTCAAATATCAGACACTAGCATTATATTTTATATGAATAATCTTCACAAATGTAATCAAGGCACTGAAAAAAATGCTAGAACATCTGAATAAATGCTTTCAATTTCTCTTTAGTTTCTTTAAAGGCGTAAGATAGGCCTACTATTGTCTTATTCATGGTACTGTTTTTGCTTTGAAATTCTGAGGGAAAATTCAAACAAAAATCAGATTAATGAGTAAGGAGTTAATAAAGAGTTTGTTCTTGCAGGTTTACATTGTTTTCTCCTTAATAGGGCCTTTCAATTCTGGTCATGTCTTTACAATTCACCTTCTCTATCACCCACTCCCAGCTCATTTCACCTTTCATTATCTTTGAGGTTACTTAAAACCTTGTGTGCTGGCTTGTTCTCAGAGGTTTGCTGGTAAAAAAGAAAGGCATTTCCCCAGCTTTCCCTCTTTTTTTTTTATTATTTGGATTTCCATTCATTCCTTGTTGCACTTTTCTCCCTGCCCACCCCTTCCCCCCAGTTCGCTCTTCTCTTTGAAAAGTAAAAGAAAAATTCTTTCATTGTTATACAATCCCTCCCCCCAAGGCCCACTCCACTATGCATCTTTAGTTCTGGAATTCAAGGTTCTACTTCTGTGAGAGGAGATTGTGCAAAAAACAGGACTAAGACCAAGTCTGGACATTTTCCCTTTAGATGGACTTGAGAAATTAACATGATAAAATGAATTTATTGTTACACTTTCAAAAGCAAGATGTGATTTGGAGAAGTTAAAAAGAAGACATATAAATATTTATAACAGTGTAACATGTTATGAATTAAAGTAGTGTGAACACTGTTGACATGTACAGTATGAAGATGTGTTTGATTCATTTGGTTGTGTACAAAATTTATGAGCTAACTATGTGATACTGGATTGATACAGTAACTGAGATAATGGGGTTAGGTGAGTAGAGACAGTGAGACTGGGTCAAAGACAGAGCAAGGTTCAGAGCTACTGTGCAGTCACTGTAAGTCATAGGCGACTTGATAGCACCTACCAACAACATGTGATATTGAAAAATACCATTTGTTTTCCATGGTCCTCAGTTTTTTCATGTCCAAAATAAGGAGATTAAGAGCACATTGTCTCTAAGATTTGTCTTTAACTTGGAAGTTCTATTATTTATTAGGAATCTCTCTTGGGATAGTGTTTTCCTAAATGCTATTTCCTAAATTAAATAATGCATTACTAAAAAAATGAATATTTTAGGACTGCTCCACACTCTTCCTGGAAAAACATCCAGGGAAAGGAGTGTATGAGATGCCCGCCCCTGCCCTGTTTATAAATATTATCTTTTGAGAGTGATCACCAACACTTTCAGATTGTTTAAATTGTCCTCAAGTAAAACCTATACATAGACAAGAAACAGTCATTTGACTAGAACAAAGGTGTGGAGTTTATCTTTAAATATGGCTTTCCTAGCCATCTGAATCTGACCAGACCATGTGGATAGGCAGGATTATTCGAATAGAGTGTGTTAGCCTATCCAGAAGGGGATTGGCTATTTCACCATTCCACAAGGGGATTGGCCAGTCCCAACAATCTACAAAAGAATAGGCTAGTCTCACTGATAGATTGAACAGCTCTAGCCCCAGATCTTAGTTCTTCACTTGCCAGTATCTTTCCCTGCCACCAGTAAAGAAACCTCCCCAGCACGTAAAGAGCCCCCATGGCTGAATTAGAGACCTGACACGAGAGATGGAGCTACCTTGGGACTGTTGGAACTGAAGCTAAGAGCCTTTGCTCCTGTTTGTTGGACAACTTGGGGGGAGGGGCATAACTTACAGAACTGAGTATTTTGAAACACTGGCTAAGACTGAGGGTCAGGGGAGCCAATTTGGGCAGAACTGAGAACTTTGAAACACTCTGGCTTAAATCCAAGCAGCTCAAGGCTGAGGTACCTGTGAGCACTGGACATCAAAGGGTCCAACCAGGCCAGGCCTGTATCCAGGGGCCCCAGGAGAGTTCAGTAGGGGCACCAGCAGAGCCCTGTGTCGGCTCTCATCAGTATCTTTTGCCCACATGTATGATCTTTTCTCATTCATATCTAGAAACTCTTTCTATATTAAGGAAATTAATCTTTTGTCTGTGGCATACATTCACTTCCCCCTCCCAGTAACTGATTTTAGTCTTTTGACTTGGTAAGTTTATGATGTTGTTGTTGTTGTTATGTGCCGTTGAGTCGCCTGCGACTCATAGTGACCCTATGGACAACAGCCCTAAACTCCGCTCTGTCCTGTGCCAATCGCACCGTCTCTGACACTCCCATCCCAATTATCCCAGTCACTGAATCAATCCACCTCATAGAGGGCCTTCCTCTCCTGCGCTGTCCCTCCACCCTCCCAAGCATGATGTCCCTCTCTAAGGACCGGTCTCTCCTCACAACATGTCCAAAGTATGTTAGACGGAGCCTCAGAATCCTTGCTTCCAAGGAGCCACCCGGTTTAACCCTTTCCAGGACAAATCTGTTTGTTTTCCTAGCAGTCCATGGTATTCTCAATACTCTTCTCCAGCACCACAGCTCAAAGGCGTCAATTCTCCTTCTGTCCTCCTTGGTTATTGTCCAACTCTCTGATGCATAACAAGTGATTGCGAAGACCATGGCCTGTATCAGACGCACCTTAGTCTCCAAAGAGATACCATTGCTCTTCAGCACTTTGGAGAGGTCCCTAACAGCAGACTTTCCCATGGCAATGCACCCTTTAATTTCCTGGCTGCTGGTGCCAAGACTGTTGACTATGGAGCCAAGCAAACTAAAGCTGTGTACAATCTCAATCTCTTCACCATCCAGCCTGATGCTGCCAATTGGTCCAGTGGTGAGAATCTTTGTCTTCTTGACATTGAGCCTCAATCCATATTGTAGGCTGCAGTCTTTGACCCTCTGCAGCAGGCGCTTCAGGTCCTCCTCAGTTTCAGCAAGCAGGGTTGTGTCATCCACATAACGCAGATAGTTGATAAATCATCCACCAATCTTGGCCCCACATTTCTCCTCATAGAGCCCAGCCTCCCGGATAATCTGTTCTGCATATAGGTTGAAAAGGTATGGAGATAGGATGCATCCCTGGCGGACGCCCTTCCCAATTTTGAACCATGCAGTCAGTGTTCCCTTGCTCTGTTCTGATGACTGCCTCTTGGTGGAAAGAACCGCTAAAATGTTTATGATAGTTATTTTATTTATTTTAATGAACATTTACAGAGATCTTGGATTTCCATTCATTCATTGTTGTACTTTTTTCCCTGCCCACCCCTCCCCTCCAGTTTGCTCTTCTCTTTGAAAAGTAAAAGAAAAATTCCTTCATTGGTATAAACCCCCCACCCACCAACCCCCTTCGCTGGGTACACTCAACTAGGCAACCTTCATTCTGGACTCTTGTGATAACCATGATACCCTATCATATATATCTTTTAACCTGTTCTCTCCCTCATCTGTTTCAAGGCAGTATATATAATTTATCCCGTTTTCCTCATTCTTATCCCAACCCTGATGTCAGTCCCATTCTGACTGAGATATTTCACTCAGCTTAATGTCCTCCAGGGTCACCCATTTTGAATAATATTGCATGAGTTTCTTGGATAGTTTTTACCATAAATGTTTTCTAAGGATGTGATTGAACTTACCATTACTTTTTTTTAATAATTTCTCAGTCTCATTAGATAGATCTCACATTCCATTTCTCCTAGCATTTGGAACCTTTAAAATTTTTTTAACACTTAAAACTTTCATGCACTTGCAATTTATCCAGTAATGCCAGTAATGGAGTAAGGTTTTCTTTTCTCAGCAATTACCTAATTTTTGAACACTGTTTATTAAATTATCCATCTTTTCACCACCTGTTTGTAATACCACTTTTACTAAGTCCCATAGACATTTATATCTGTTCCTGAACAGACACATCTCAGCCCTCAGTATACATCTGTCTGCTTGTGGGTCAGTTTCAGACACGTTTAATTACTTCAATTCTGTAATGTGTGTGGTGCGTGGAGGCTGGTTTTCCTTCATAAGTTTCTTTTCCAGACATCTTGGTTATTTTCACTTGTTTGTTTTTCCACATGAACTTTTGACTCAGCTAGGTTATT